GAAATGTGCAAAATAATTAATCACAATTTTTTCCAATCAGGAGATAATCTAATATACTGTACTGCCATGCCAACAACAACCATGGAGGCATACATTAATTATAGATGTTATGCACAGGCTTACCTTTAAATTACAAGGAAAGTGTACATTCAGTCTGTAAACAAGAAATGGGATTCTTTCTTGAATAATAGCAAAGAGCATAATTCATACTACCACGTGTTTATTGAAAACATTATTTTTAAAATATCTTCCTCCTGTGCTGAGGAAAAGCTCTCAGAATAGAGTTCAGTTCAGGGCGATCAGACTAGGTATCTGAACATTCACTATTTGCTATACAAACAAATACAAGGAGATCACAGTTGACTGATTCAGAATTTCTTGTAAATGCTTCTTCTCGAAAAGGAAAAAAGCATTTCTGTTCCTTCAAGTTCAAGCCAACTTCCCCTAATGTGGCCTCATTATATGTAAGTCCCATCATCTCCTGGTGCTACGGCCATTGCTCAGGGATGATGGAAATTGTAGTTCAAAATAATTAGCAAGATCTAGATTGCACAAAAGCCCCTCAAGGAACTTCTTGCTTGCATTTGTTCAATTATGGGGGGTGGGGGGCGGGCAGGGCAGGGGGGGAAAAGTAGCAGGAAACGTTCTCAGTGTTTAATGCAGATTTTTAAAAATGTAATTGCCTGTTGGAGGAGAGGAATAGAAATACGGCTTTTCTTTTTTACTTCTATGACTAACTCATTGAAAAGGGTTACAGAGAACTGTCTAAAATGGAGCAATTTAACAAATGAAGAAAAATTAAAAAGGGGCTACACTGATGATGGTGGTAGTTAATAATGTTCAGCAAGGCTGCTATGCGGGCCCAGCATCTTTCCCCTAAGGGCATGATCCCATATGAGGCACTGCGTTTTGATTCACATATGTGTTTAATAGCTTAGGGGCAAGTGAATATATGATCCTCTCTGTGTTTGGTGTTTCGCTAGGCTGCACAGCCAAGATGGTTATGAATTATGAAGACTCAGAATTTCAGGATAAATTCACATAGATGAAAGCATACTTATAAGTTATTTAATTTTATGTTTTGCAATGAAGTAAATTTCTTCAGACAAAAGTAGGGCAGTTAAATTATTAGACAATTTTTGCCTTTGTGGACTTACATTAGTGTAATGTATTCTGGACATGTTGAAAATTCTCGTAGGACTGATTTTTTAAAAAAGAGAAGTGCAGGATATTTCACAGTTTTAGATACACTGTCAAAGTGCCTCCACCATGTCTGTATAACTAAATCAAATTAGGTTCACTCAGCTCAGTGAAACAGCAGTACAGTTCCACAGAGAGATATTTAACTATCAATTTAAAACTACTGCAGGGTTATCACTAGCAAATAAGATTACTATAAGGGACTGGCATTTGTTAAAATGTCATTTATACTTTACTTCCAGAATCAATAAAGCATGAAAGATTTTTCTCATGCTCTCTGGCTGTTTCTAAAGGGGAAAAAATCAGTAGTGATAGTGTTTTATTAACAGTAGAAGAGAATCAAAAAGAAGATTTTTTTAGAATGCTTTGGGGAAAAAAGTCCCCACCATAATAGGAGTAACAATTGATGGGAGACAGTGGGAAGCAGCAATCAGCAGACTGCTTAGGAAGATGGACTTGGTAGATTATCCTGGCTTGATTTTGAAGTCCAGACAAAGTATCAAGATAAGATTAGGCCTGAAGCTAAATAGCACTGAAGATGTTACTTAGCTGAGTAACAAAACATTTGTAAGAAAACAACCAAGCTCAGAGAACCCCAAGGACTCCACAGTTCAACTCTGAGCTACATATATTCTCTTCTATTGGTAAGATAGGCCCTTCCAACAGAACTTTCCCTTCTGTACTATCCAAAAGTTTTTAGATATTTCATTCTGGGTATTCTACTTGAATAATCTCCTTACAAATTGCAATTTCATTAGAGCTGGAAACTTTCAGGGCAGATAGATCTACTAAGAGGCCATAATTTCCTCTATAGCTTCTATGCAAGGTGGGAATAAGTCAGAAACAGGCATCTTCCCATTCATTTTGGTTGGTCTCCTCTGGACACAGTCCTGTTGATCAATGACCTTCCTAACATGTGGTGCTCCAAACTGGATGAAATATTCTCAGTATGGTCTGACCAGTGCAGAACAGAGAACAATGACTTCAAGTCTCTGATTTCATTGTGGCTGCTCTAAATATGACTACATCTGGATTTATTCTTATGTGTACAATGTCATATCATTTAATTTCATCTCTATTATATATTCCTAATAATCTTTTTTTGGAGGGGGTGTCAGATTATGAACTTTTAGGCCACAGAAGTAGATAAATAGCTTCAATTCTAGAGCAAAATATTACTTATTAATGAATTGCCTATCACTTATTTTCAAAATGTTGTTTAATCATCTATTTAGATCAATATACAGGGAACAAAGTCCACACTCACTAGCACTGATGATATTACCTAGTTGGGTAATGAAATGTCTGCAAGCAAACAACCAAATTCAGAGAGCACCAAGGACTCCTTAGATGGATATATTTCACTTTTCCCCTTGAAAAAGAGAATTGGTCAGGGGGGCTCAGAAAACACAAAAACAAATGCACGAACTGCAAGTAGCCAAAACGACAACAATCCTCTTATGAGTGAAGTGTCATCCAAGAGCAGGTGCTTCCTTTCAAAAAGTGAAAAGCCTGTTCTATACCAGCTCTCTCTAACCTATCCTCCAGCTGTGTTGGATTATCTTTCCCATCAACCTCAATGGCCTTGTTGGCTGGAGATGATTAAAGATATAGTCCAATGTAAGAAAGAAGCACACTGCAGAAGGCTGTTGTACAATGGCCTGGGTTTCTGCATTTTTAAACAGTAGGAGGGAGGACTGTATGTTTCAAAATCTTTCAGTTGGTTTACTTTTTATAGAATGTGTTAGCATATGAAATAAAGAGCTGGATTAGAAATGTGTTCCCTGGTATTCTGGTTTTCTATATGCTGGTAGATTTTTAGCTGGGAAAACATTAAAGCTGTTAGTCTTTAGTCCCAACAGTTGAAAAGCTCCTTCAACCTAAACTTCTTGAATATGTAGTTCATCTTGTTCCCTCCCTCCCTTCCTTGTAACTTATGTACTCCACAGAAATATGGGAAACATTATAAGTAACTTACGGTAAAATATAGTCCAATACATAGTGACTGGCAAAATGCAAAAGATTACTTATGCAATTTCTGACATACTAGGGGCAAAGGTTACATAATATAATGTTGTGCTACACAACAAAAAGGTGAGAAGAACGTTATAGAGAAATGAAGGACATTATACAGTACTATGACTTGTATAGTTCCAGACAATTCTGATATATTTTATGGCTAACCGCACAGCATGCATGAAGAAAAGCTGAATCAGATCAGTTTATCCAGAGACCTTTTCTGGAGATAATCCTATAAAGCAGTTCCAAGAATACTTTGGAATCTAGCTAACAGGATCAACAACATCCCAAGTGACTCCTCCACGCATATATGCTCAGGTGATCATTTTAAGAGAAGACATTCCAATCCATGAGTATTATAAAACTTTTGTCAGCTGAAGCACTCACAGTTCTAACAGAAGCCTACAATTCATACAAACTTTGAATTTGTTCATCTTTATACAACACAGTTGGATTGTCATTAATTTCTAAGGATTTTCAAAAGGGTCAAACTTTTTCCACAGAGAAACTGTTGTTCATTTGTAACTTAGAGGAGATCATCCTTTCCCAACTTGGTGGTCTTCAGATGTGTTGGACTTCAGCTCCCATAATTCCCTAGCCACCAAGTTGGAGGTGAGCTGGGTGAACCAATAGCAACTTTCTATTTTTCTATTATCTTTGAACACTACTGATCCATTAATCTAGTATTTGTAAAACTCAAATCATTGACTTGTTTACCCAATATAGTAAATTATATGCAAAAAGAAAAATAATAGTAACATAATCTCATTATGATACCCTTTACAGCCTGTCAGAGAAATACCATGACACGCCATAATCCCTTTGAATTATGCTTTAGGCTTCATTTTTGAAGGAGTTAAAATAATATATCACAATAATCATATCTTCCCATCAGTAGAATTCAGCTCACATTCACAAAACAATAATTGTATGTAGAATTATTTCAAGCCAGTGCCAATAAAAGAATGAACAAACTGTGAAAGGATAAAACATGCATTTAATTTCTAAATAACAATGAGAACCAAATCTGTATCTACTCAAGTAGAATAATCCTAGGCATGTTCTTTTCAGAGCTAAAACTGACCAAGTCCAAAAAGATTTAGAGTACTGAACAGATGTAACTTTGCCCACCCCAAGTAAAGCTACTTCATTCGCTTATATGAAGATGTTTACTGATTCATTTCTTTTTCAGCTGGAAACAAGACTGAACTAAACTAAAATGCTTATATCTGATAACCCACCTATATTCCAGGTAAGTATCATTGCAAGTAGAAATACATATCCAAGAGCTGCTTGTGTCAAAATCCTTACACATTGAACTGGAAGTACTGGCACTGAATTTAATAAGGCTTTCTTTTGAGTATACATTCACAGGAATATGCTGCCCATCTACATTTACTAGACATTACTGACCATTAAGGTGAAATTTTGAACTTCAGTAAAAAAGAAGACAGATGAAGTAAAGACTCATTCAGGACAAGATGCTGGTGCCAGGGAAGACAGTATATGACACCTGGAGGTTTCCTTTGTGAAACCATCAAGAGGGTTTCATCCAGAGGAGAAAAAGTTAAACTCCATACAAAGCCTTTTACCCCATTTTAAACAACTACAGAAATATGACCACAAACCACAGGATGTTTAAACCATAGAAAGAAACCAGTGACTGTGAAGAGCAGATGATTTTAATTATACCGAAACCAGTATTAATTGCTAGACAAATTCAAGCTGTCACATCTATGATCAAACCAAAGCATGAATGAATGAGGCAAGGCCTTTCTTACCTGGGATGGGAATAATGGGAACAGTTTCGTTTGGTACCACCCGAGGGGAACTGCTGTCTTCCACATAGAAATGAGCTGTCTGGAAACATTTTCTGCAAATGCAAGAGAAATAGCATCACTATTTTCAGGGTTTGGGGATACTTTTGCACATATCAAACATTTCAACAAGCAAGGAATAAGTCCACTTCAAACTCTGCCTTCTCCCATAATGCTGGTTGTTGTTTGTTTGTTTGTTTTTTAAGAAAAAAAATATGATCTCAGGAATCTCCAATGGGAAAGAGCTGTTAATTAATTTAGGAGCAAGCTATCTTATCTATTATTAAAATGCATTGTCCAGGAAGTTTAGCAGCTGTGAAGTTGGGGTTTCTCCAGGTTGTACTTACAAAATAAATTTCTAGGCTCTGCACTACCTTCTCAAAATGGAATGCAGGGGGGCCACCACAATCCTGTTGGAAACATTCCAACTCAATGTCAGAGAAAGAGTAGATAGCTTCTTAAACAGATATCTGGCACCTTCCTTCCTTCAGAAAGTTGCAAACTTTCTAAAACCTAATGAACTTTGCCTCATTTCTCAGGGTGCAGTCCTCTTCCTGTATACTTCCTGTGAAACAAGATCATGCCCAGCAAAACCCAGTTTGTTTGTCAGCAAGGTCCCCAACCCAGAAAATGATTCTGAAGGCAACTCCGATGCTGCACCGAAATGCACCAAAGAGCCCAAACCCAAATGAATTGAGTCCATCTGCCTAAGGCTTTTCGGTGCTGTTTTTACCTGTACTTAATGCATAGCAGTGAGCATAAGCTGGTCATCATAGAGAAGGCACTGAGGAGGAGAGCATCCAGCGTTGCACTGAGCCTCTGCATGGTGATGCTCAGCAAGACACAGTTTTCCAGCAGCAGCGTCACTGCTTGGTGCTGCCTTAATGAGCTGCTTGCAGCTGGAAGTGAATATTTAATGAGCCTTGCTCAGCAGGAGCTGCTCTTGTGACGGGAGAAAGAGGGTTACTCTCAGCTGTCGGGAGCTCTTTGCCAAATCCTAGACAGAGCAGAGATCCCTCTTCCCGGCCAGCTGGAAAAAATGTCTTCTTCACTTCTGGGTAGAAAGCTTGCAACATCACCCTGATAAGTTTCCCTGACAAGCACAGGGCTGCCTTTTGCTTGTAAACGTTTGCAAAGCATTCTCTAGTGACCAGTTCGGCTTCTGGAATGAGGGCCAAGCAGAACAGCCCACTATCCCCTCCAATCTGCTGACACTGTCAAAGCAATTTCTATGGCCATTGTTTGCAGCCCAGAATTACATAGTAGAGCATTTTCAAAAGGAAAGAAAAGGGGGAAAAACCCACAACACAACTCACAACTTTCAAGGGAAACACTCAGCAGAAGAGTTTATGCTAGTTTGAATTGCACTGACACTGAAACTCAGGCTGTCACATCAAAATGTGTGCATGGTGGAACTCTTACATTTTATGGTTAACTTGAGTCCCTCTCTCACTCAGTGAATTTACTTGACTGTCTGCTCCCACTTCAACTCCCATGCCAAATGCAAACATCTCATGTGCAGCTTTGCCCATGTGAAGAAGTACATGTGAAGAGCTGTGGGAATGGAGCCTTAATATCCAAAGTAATTTTGGAAAAGCAACAGAATGCCATCTTTCTCATTCCTGCTTCTACAGCCATGCACTATGAATTAAGCAAGCAGAAAGTTTTCCAAAGCTACTTTCATCCCCAATTAATTTTGGGATGATGTAGGAATGAAAGTGCAATTACTAAACAAATCCAGAGTATATCTTATGATGCATCCACAATTTGGGAGCATCAAATTATTGCATTCTAAATTAAAGGCTACTTATAATGGTCAGCTGAAGCTTGATTTAAAAAGTCAACTGATCGTCAGGTAGATAGCTAGATAGCAAGATCTCTCTCTCTCTCCTAGCCAGCTTTGAATGAGTTTTGGAGGGCCCAGCTGTGAATTACACGGTATATTTGTCCTAACACCACTCTTGTGATGTAGGTTGGGTTGGCCACCCACTTTGTAAGATGCCTGTGTATGAATTGGAATTCAGGTTTCCCAGGTTAATGACTGACACCCCATTCATTGTACCACACAGACTTCCAGGACTATCATAATAGGGACATCTGGCAATCCCAATTGTGGTGCACTTCTGGCACTATATAAATAATGAAAGCAACAGCAGCTACATCTATAGAACCGCTGAATCAATATGTAGCCACCAGAGATCCCAACCGGCGGCATGGTTTCATTCAAAGCGAACCATGGCTTCCACATTCTGGCAAATGTATTTTCTGGTTGTGTGACCTATGGAACCAGACCTTCTTACAAAAATTAGTTTTTCTTTCTTGAACAGCTTGACTGCTCTTCTACCCCCTCCCTCCTGAAAGAGGTACTTGGCTTCTATTTGGTCTGCCTTTATTTTGGGCTGTGAACACCCTGGGGGTGCAAAGGGGCATAAATCAGTCACAGTGAGGGAAAGGTTATGAATATGGATCAGGCAGAAGGCGCCTGTGTTTCATGCATTCTGGATTTTTCTCTTCTGAGTGAAGAAAATCCATAGAGGATAGCTTTTAGTATTATGTTTTTTTCTTTTAATGGAGAGAGAAAAAGGGAAAAAGAGAACCCCGCACATAGTTCCCATCCCCAAAGTATTCTATGTAAAAATAATTATATTTACTGAACGGAAGACAACTCTGTGTGTATTTACGTTGAACAAAGGGGGAAGGGGGGCAAGTATAATTTAATAAGCAGAAAGTATACTAGAACAGCCTGGGTTAGTTCTCTGCTCTGAGAGAATCAGCATCCTTCATTCCAATCCACCAAAATGTCCTACTTCTAATTTTGATTGTGGATTTATATGAAGATGGGATTCTGATATTTTTTATTAGAATAACAAGAAGAAAGGCAAATATTATCTACCACATCTCTAGCAAATGGCTGTTAACAGCGGATGTCTCAGAGAACAAAGGGAGTGAGAGAATACATGCATGTTTGAGCAAGTAACATTGATTTTATGTTGATATAAAATATTAAACATTCATATTATTAGACGGTTTTTCATTGGAATTGATATCCAGATGATCTCTAGGACCAATGGATTGTTCCTAAAGAGATCCCGCAATGACTATATGATTCGGATTTTAGCTTAGGTTTATAACTTTAACCAAGGTGCTCACATAGTAAATTTACTGACTTCATTGAAAACCTGAATTGCTCTAATTGCGTCAGTCCATCGACTCTATACCGACACAGCGACGCCCAATTCGGATTTGGAGCTAACAGTGATTCATGTTCCATGTACATAAACAGTTTGCTGTGTAAGTCCAAATAACATTTTGTAAACTTACTTCGCCTAAGCTTGCAAACTACTGTACACAGTTAACTACGGTTATTAAAATAATAGGTAAAGATAAACGATAGGGATGACTTAGAGCAGGGCTACTCAACCTTGGGCACTTTAGGACATGTGGATGTCATATGCTGGTTGGGGAATTCTGGGAGTTGAAGTCTTAAAGTGGCCAAGGTTGAGAAACCTTGACTAGAGGGAAGACTATAGTAACATAAGAAGCTGCTGGGCACTGAATCAAATTTTTGGCTGAGAACTGTCAACCCTGACTGTCAGCAGAGTGCTGGGCAGATCTCTTTCCCAGTCCTGCTTGAAGATGTCAAGAATTGATCCTGGGCCCTGAGAAATATGGATGAGGAGCCTGAACTATGGATTTCTAGCCATGATATGGCAATCAGGCACTATTATATTGACACAATGTGGAAGATGTTTCTGCAATAATTGCTTAAAAATATTACTATGATAAATTATTATGATAACATTTGAATTCTCTGCTGACACATCTAGGGCTTAGCCGTGTTATAACTGATATAACTTATTTCTAGGGAAAAAAACAAGCTTAGGGTTATAATGCGTGTGTGCGTCTGTGTGTGTATATACATTCCAAGTTATCATTTCTGTTGCTTTAAACAAAGGCAGCTTCCTGTCTGTTGGCAGATCATTATGCGGCACACACCTATGTATCTGGTTATAGTATTGTACAACAATAAATAACTTCCTAAGATCTTGGAGAATGGAGTTTTATCATAAAATCCAAGAATAATCAGCTTGTCAAATAGATCTGATTTCTGGGTAACAAAGACTGAAAAAATTGATTTTGGCATCAAACATGTAGTTTGTGAGTTACTATTGCTAAAAAGTATAAGGAAGAACATTCTACCCAGGAGTTTCAATATACCTAACTTATCACTTACTATTTATGTCAAGTACCAAAGTGCCAGGTGAAACTTCATTGATATTCATTGATGTAGGTCCAAGAAAGAGAAGCAGGAAGAAAACATGCATACATATAGTTACCCCCATTATACTGTTGGTTTCAGTGTAAGCAACATTATGAAAAGTGCAGAAAAGAAGAAAGAAATAATTGATCAAATAAATTAAAGACATAAAATCAGAAGGAGAAGAGGAAATATACTTCAATCTAGTATACACCAACACCATTCACTATACCTATTCATACTTTTCTATCCTTATAAGACCATACATCAATTTATAAATTGCCTTTTTTTTCTTGATGTATTGACTCATATTGTAACTTGTATTCAGCTGCTGAATACAAGTTACAAATCTTAGTGATTTGGATTTGTTACATAAGACTGCAGTGATCAGATATTTGTAAAATAAATTTATTTTTATATATATTCAGAGAAACTAATTTGCAATGACCTTGTTGGTTTCAAATGTGGTTGTATTATGGAGTGTTCTGTATATTTCAGATTCTGTGTTCTTGTATTATATATTGAGTTTAATCTTCTTAAAAGCTGTTTTGAGAGTAATTTGGAAAAGCAGCAACAGATTTTTATAGCCATGGGCACCAGATTGGGGAAGCCTTGTTACAAAGTTAGTGAAATACTTATAGAATTGAAGAAACATACATTTTCAGAATAATTCATAAAGCCCACATGTTTTCTATGAATCATTGAGAAGTCTGTTGTCTTTGAAAGAAAACAGTGTGTTCCCTGAAGCAGAGCCATCATTCTCTTTCCACCACCATCCCAATCTCCATATGCTTTATT